GCATTCATCATGGAAGACAGGAGCATGTGTTCCGTCTTGATGTCTGTCTGTCACTTTACATCATGTTCATCCAGCTGGTACTGGTTTGGTGATGGTAGTAACATGATCTCCAATTACTTCTCTGTAATCACATAAAAACCTGAGTAAGTGGAATAATAATAATAATAATATTGAATTTTATTTGAATATTTTCTAAACAGAAAAAAATTATCCATGCTGATTTTTTTTTTTAAATGCACATTGAAAGTATTGTTTTGAAAGCATGCCATTTCAAACTTTGGTCTCTATCAAATAGCTTTAACAAAAGGTAGCACTATATATGTAATCTATGCTGTCTCCTACTTATCTCCTGGTGTTGGCTGTCAGACCACATGGTCAAACTTAAGTTTTCATTCACTATCTAGTATTCTTTTTTCAGATTGTAGTGTTTTTATTTGGTATACACATATTACTGAGTAGATAGGTATTTTTTTCTTTCATTGCTTATGAGTGTCATTTTTGTCTAATTTGCATAATAAGTAGGGAATACGCCTTAGATTTAACCCCCCCCCCCCCATTTTTACTACTGTAAAAGGGTTAATTATTCACTGAGTTTTAATTTTGCTTATTTCGTTGACTGGAAAATGCGCTAAATTAAAACCTAGTGTATATGTAAAATTTAGCATAGAACACATTATCTAAATGATAAAACCATGAATTTAAAACTCACTGAATATGCCTGAAATGGTAAATCAGCAAAATTTAAACCCAGTGAAAATTAGTCATTTCACAGTATGTAATGCTCCTAGAACAAAGGCGATCATAATGTCCCTAACCAATGTACAGGCAACACTTCTGACGAGAGATTCAGTAAACCTGCATATTTCACTGTTAAAAAATCATAAACATGGTCTTTTTTATCTACAATAAATGACAACGAATATCATAGTAATGATAATTGTTTGCCAGATTTATAATGACTAATAACACTTCCAGATTTCCTTTAAAGTCAGATTCAGGGATAAGAAGGAAATGTAAATGTCATTTGCGAAGTCGTGTAAATTCTTGTTAATTATTATTACCTTAACCTTTTCACCACCAGTTCCTCTTTTCACACAAATTCACAAAATAGTCCTGTTTATAGTTTGCACTTTCCTTCAGAAGATTTGGCCAAAAATAGCCAAATTTTTTGAGTAAAAATTGAATATTTACTCAAATTTTGTCAGTTGGCTCCAAAAATATGGTTCACTACCAGAAATATTGAAGAATATGAGAAAAAAGGTGAATAATTTGGGTGAGATAAGTCTGGTGGTGAATAGATTAATCTGACAGTCCTGTTAGGATCCTGAATTTGAATAGCCCCGTCTCCTTAATTCTGCCCACACTGTTTTTCTCTATCGTCGTGGCTTAGCCGCTAACAGTCGTGTTAACACATATTGTGTACGTTGCATTGGGTCATAGCGAACATGATGTCGGGGGAGAACCGTGGTGATTTGCTGGATTGCATACTGGTTGGTGGTATTTTATTCTGTGAAGATATCTGATATGTATTACTTCTCAGTAGCTGTGACTCTTTGTTATGACTGCTGGTAAACACCTCAAATGAGCTAAATTCTTTTAGGTACTAGGCTACCGTGTGTGTGATAAATTTCTAGAATTTACACACTGACCTACTTTACGTTGAATTTGGATTGTAGCAGTGCAGGTTTGTCTTTAAAATTTAGTAAGTTTGTTTAAACTTTTTCATCACCAGACTTTCTCAAGTAAATTATTCTGCACTTTTTTCTTATATTCGTCAATATTTCTGTAAATGAACTCTAATTTTAAAGCCAATAGGCAAAATTTGAGTCAATTTTCAGTTTCTACTCAAAAAAATTTGCTATTTTTGTCCCAGTCTACGATATTTTGTAAATGTGTGATGTAAAGAGGGAACTGGTGGTGAAAAAGTTAAGAAATGTCTCGCTAAAGGACATTTAATTCTCACTGATAGAAATCTTTTGTGATTTCATGGCATTTGTAAAGACAAAATTTCTTAAAAGTTGTAGAAACTCCATGTCTAAAGATGACTATTACAAAATGTAAATATAATAAAAGCACGGTGAATATTATCAAACAGTTAAAGTGCTACAGTCGTTGCGCAGCATGTGTTTGAATTTCAGGTAAACCAACAATGTATTTTATGCGCAATGTATACGTCATTATCAGTCCCATATTGAACAGGACGTGGTATGACGACTGTATCGCTTAAAGTGAATTTTAAAAAAGCGGTTAAAATTAATTAATGCTTGTACATTGTATAAAGAAATATACATTGTTCAACGTCACCTTGGTTCATGGATCAATATTTCTTCTATACCTGTACATTTTTTTGGATGAAGGCCAGAATCTTATACCTTAGTAAAAAAATAGAAATAATAACTTTACTCAAATTACAAAGCTCACTGAGGAGATTTTAACAATGGTTTTAAAACCAATCCTACTTTGCATCTCAGATCACGCAGATATGTTCCTCAGCCTTATGACTGCAATTAATATTATTTTGTAAAAGGTAATTTTCTATTCGCTGTGAGGTCTTGTGTAATGTGTGAAAGGTCCGGACAGAACATCTGCCACAAAAATCAAATGATTTGATTTTGAACTTGAAGGTGGATACTAGTATACCTTACTTCATCAAAATTGACCATCATCAATTGTTTATACGTGGACATTATTGAGTGTGGTAATAACTTAAAATTAGTTTCACATTTGTTCAATCTCATAAGATGTTTTTCCGCCACTATAACGCTATGACCTTTGTTTGTCATGTTTTTTCATTCAATTCCACACATGACAGGACATCTTGCAGGGAACAAAAAATGGTCGAATAATCAATCATTAAACGTTGGATGTTCATTAAAAAAAAAGTTTTACACACCTATGATTTTGCAGTACTACATGTGTGAGTCAGTGTCAAAACGTAAACCATATTTTTTTCTGTTCATAAATTTCTATATTTTTCTATAATTCTGTGTTAGTTTGGGAGCACATGATTATAATTTTTCATTGGTTATATGCTAAGATCAAAATCTATTAAAACAAATGAGCAAAATTTCACGGTTTACAGTTTATCATAATTGCTTTGTGCCACAGTGCTGGGTCCAAGTGCATCATTTACATCAATCACCTAAAGAGGGGGCTCTTCACAAGTCCAGACATTACATGCCTCATTAGGTGTTGTCATTTGATTCTTTATCGGGATTTGTGTGCTTTATTCTTGACATTTGTCAACTACAAAATCAAATATCACAATCGCATTTGGTTTCCTGGCGACATTTTTCTCGCAATTAATTCTGTGTCTCATATTTCATTTAATAATTTTTCATCAAAATTTCTGAATTTTTCGAAATGTTGGTATTTTCTTAAAATGGCTATTGCTCAAAATTTGAAGACAAATGCCAAGAATTAAAATTGGAAATCCAGAACTTAAAGCCTCTCTTTTTATACTCTTTTGTGAAATTGATATGTTCTGATTTCAACTGAAAATTGTACTTGAAATACATAAAATTAGAAGAAGAATAATACTGTAAAATACTTTATTTTAGCTGGAATCAATTTTCGTTGAAAAGACTTTTGCAATGTTTGTATGGTTTTGTTTCACTGTATTTTGATGAGTTGAATGTTAAATATAGGAAAAAAGATTTATTCGCTGAATTTTAATTTCACTGAATAAAGTATTTTACAGTACTTGCAAGTCAGGTCAGTTATTCCACTCCCTGTTTGCACAATCCTTTCACAAACCCAGTTACGCTTTGACAACATATTCCATCTCAAGATATAGCTGTGGTAACAATAATTTGTATATGATTTTCTGCAGTACGTAATTTTGATATACTGGTACATGAAGTCCAACAAATACATCGGTAATATGTGAATCCTGCTAACTGAAAGCAACATCACGACATTGGGCATACTTGCACGTACATAGAAATAATCAATAACAGAGCGCTTTATACTTCTCCCTTTTTTCTCTTCATTTAGTGTTTCACCTTGTCTGATTTGATTTGATTTGAATTTAATCGGTATTCATTGTCGCAATTTATACTCTAACCTCGATAACGTACTCAATTACGATGCGTATATCATCATGCCGGCACTTTGCTGGATTTGGTTCTAACATATTCAAAATGGCTGCTGATTGTAATTCTCGTTCCGTGGATGGTCTTCTGATAGAGGTTTATTTAAATTTACACTTCTGAAAATCGTAACAAGTTTTCTGAATGATGCTGATGTTTTTTTACGAAGTCATTACCCCGGGTACTGTTCTTAATAATTACTGCGATTATTTGCATTTATACTGAAGTATCAGTTTAAATGCAATGTTTATTTTCTAATAAGTGTTAGAACACTTGAAAACTTAAAATGAAATTTGATTATATAGCCTATTTGCTCTGTTACTATTAGAAGTACCGGTACACATAAAACGAGAAAATGTAAAAAAAGTTTGTATGAATTTTTTTTTTTTTTTTTTCAAACTGGATCATTAAAATATGGCTTATCTTAACATGTCTCTTATTTTCTGTTTTAGGTATTTGAATATTCCTCATTCATTCTGTGAAAAACTTGTTTTTGTTTTTAAAAAAAAATTAATTCCTGTTTTGGGCAAAGTTCAAAAGCAGGGACTTAAAGAATGAACTCTATGTATTCGTCTTTGCATGTGTTCCCACCTGTGTCTTGGACATACATGTAGCTGGGTTGATCACATTCAAACTTCATAAAAACATCATACATCTCGGGGAAACAAACATGTATGCCTGCTCATTTAAAAATTCATCAAATCAAGCATTTCTCATTTGTTTGATGTTTAGTTAAAAAAATCGTTGACTCATTTCTGTTTTGTTTTAGTA